GAATAAGTTTGAGTTGAAGTCCTGGAGAAGTATCTCATTTCCTTTTTCCTACGACCTCTTCTCACCAAGTTATAATCCCAGGATCTCATTGTTTCATTCAGCTGGGCTTTTTTTTATATGTGAAAGTAGTGAATAATACTTAACTTCTGGAGATTTGTTTACAAGTGTATACTTGAAGTATCTTTCATGTTACATGCAAAGTATTATTACAGAATGGTAAAAACCATTATGTATTGTAAGATGCTAATCATGCAGGTCGTCTTCTCGAATTCCTGTTCTGAACTTTGACCACTATGGTTAAATACCTTTTTTGATTTAAAAGAACATATTCAAAATAACTGGTAATATGAGGTTTCTATTTTCTAATTATCATCTTGAGAACTTTAAAAGACATTCTGTTTTTTAGGACATGACGTCTGCGTCCTAAAAATCAACCCCTTAAGGTATTTCATGTTGAACAGCTAAAAACTGAGTGACCAAAGTCTCTAATGACTTTGAAAACTCGATCTTATAGAGAGTTTTATTAACAAAGCAATCTTAGCTGAGATCTTGAGAAGTCACTCGTCTTTCTGGCATAACTTACATACACCTATAATGCCACTAAATATGCTTTACTATCTAACACAGAATTACTTAAAATCTATAGCTTATAACTGTGTTGTTCATAACAGGTTTGTGTCCAAAAACATTGGATTATGCAGCAGTTAGTTAGAGGCAAGGACAGGCTACGACAGGGGGGATGTTCTAGAAGCTTACTAGACCTGAGGAAAAAAAAACGACTAGGTGAAGGCAGGCCTTGCAGACAAGACAGTCTTAGAAGCAGCGCGTGAGCAGACTCTGAGACCTCTTAAGCAAGATGGGATAAACCATGGGGTAGAGTTTTAAATTTCATAATGTTTTCCTCAGTACGGTAAGACATGGGGCCAAGTATGAGGCTGTCGTGCTTGCTCAGAGTTAGAAAGGAAAGGAGCTCAGGGCACAGAACAAAGATGGGCAGAGAAAGTGTCCACCCAGAGGAGTGCAGTCAGCAGAAAGGACACCAAAGGGAAGAAGCCTCACATAACCGTATCAGATTCTAGATTAAAAGTAATTTAAAAACCAGGATGAAGGACCAATCTTTATGCCTTGTTAAAACATATGTGAGCCTTGAAATTCAATTTCCATTTTTACCTAGATAATTAAAAAAAACATACCAGCCTATCCTTAACTGCTCACATTTATGATGCTGTTGATGTTTTACTGGTTCAGATCTCACTTTTACTTTAATTAATTTGCAGTGCATAATTGTTGGCTTAATTTTTTCAGCTTTACCCATTTACCCTTTTCAGCTTTCACAAGCTGATCATAATACAATATGAAAGAGAAACACAATCAAGTTGGAAGCATGAATACAACACAATAATCGTTATCCTGAAAGAACAAAAGAGTTGACAAAAGAGATGACAGCAGAAGTCCATACCTGGTTCTACCTTACCCCCACCTGCAAAGCTGGACACGATGCAGGCTGGCAGAAGGTAAGGAATAAAGCACTAGAATCACTTACATGCAATGGAATTATAAGGCAAAACAGTATTTGAAAAATACATTCTGTACTGACTGAGATTTACAAATTCCGTGTATATAATTGTAATACGTTCTTATCAGTAATAAAAAATTCTTTTCTCCAAATGTTACACTTCAACTCATTTATCTCTAGAATTTGTACTAATCTTGAGCATTATTTCTGTAATAGTAGTAGGTGAACTTACTATGTAAGCTGTGGAACAGTTACTGTAACTTTTCTTGTCCATTATAATTTGGTCCCAATTTTAAATGCTGTGAACAGTTTTTCTGACAACTGTGATGATGTACCTTGCCCTCAGAGCCTCAGGAAGAGAGGGGCTTCCATGCTTAGGAAAACAGCCAGAAATAAGGATTATGTTAAGTCACAGAGGGCTTAACCTTAAAAAGACAAGCAGTCAGCAGGCCACAAGCGGAAGGCAATTATTTTAGCTTCACAATCAGTACTACTAGTATTTCTATTGCTTTTTGAAATACGTCCTCCCTTGTGCAAGCCTCTGAGTAAAACACCCAAGAGTCAGTCTCCACCCTAAAGAGTATGAGATCCAGGACAGCAAAGCAAACAGTTGAGGGGGAAGAAAAAGATACAGAAAAGTGAAGTAACTTGCCCAAAGCCACAAAGCAAATGGAGAACTATATACAGAATAAAAGTCAAGTCTCAGGACTCACTATCCAGTGTTCCACCTTTATGCCACATCCTTCACGTGGCACTCATTACAATGCAATGATTTAGAGAAAAATGAACGCAGAATCACTGAACTATATGTGATGTCACTCCTGCATCATTCCAAGTATCATGGCCATTAAAAAAAATCTACCACTTAATGGTTTCAAGTCTTGTTAGTTCCATAATAACTGGTCTCACAAGCCTTCCTAGTGTTACCAGTCTCATAGTAACATAGCCTCACTTCATTGTGAGTATTCACATCAGTCGCTGCATAGGCAAAAAACACTAAACAGCTGGAGTTAAAACTAACACATTTTCTCCATAGAATAACTTAGCATCCAAAACGTGTATGAGACAAAGGACAAACAAGGGTAAAACAGAATGTTAGTATTTTTCAGAAAAGCAGAAGGATTAACTGAAATAATTTTTTTAAAGGAAATTCAAATCTCTGAGATTGTATGGTGCAATTTTCAAACTCCTCTAAATGATATAAACTGAAAGACAACAAGACTGTGCAAGGAAGCAACGGTCTTTGGCCTCCTGATCACTATTATCCAGTCACTCTAATCAGGTCAGTGTTTATTTGACAAATGAAAGTGATAAGAAATGGGTGCCTGACAAGAGACACGTCACATAATAGAAATGTGGAACATCACAAGAGAAACGCTGCTCCTTACCTTGAAGCTGTTGCAGAAAATAGGGACTAAATACCTTTGGCAGAAAATTTACTGGGTAACGTTGAATAAGGACACAGGAGTGCAGCAGGTTCAGTAAGGTGCGAGGCTGAAAGTGACTAAAACGAGAATGCAGTATGGTTTCGAGCTTCCTAAACAAGGAAGAAGCACTTGGAGGCTGATAGTTAAGAGTCCCAAATGGTATAATGTACCCAGCAACCTGGTCAGTGGTAAATGTGTCAGCATCAGAAATGAAACCTTCTGCCACTGCATCAAAGATGGGCTTAGAAAGGATCATCTTTTCGCAGCAATACTGCATGATTTTGCTGACTGTCTGAGGATGCATGGTAAAGATGGACTTGGGAACATGTGTTTCCAGTGCCTCTGTAAAGATTTCTTCACGATGTCCAAAGTACAGTAAGGCTTCCAGTACGTTTACCAGTTCATCATCTGTGAAATATGGAATATGCTTCACAGAATGTTTACAGAGTGCTGTGACCAAGGGAACTGCCTGAGTCTGATGAAGAACAACCAGCGAATTCAGTATTATGCTTGTGAACGCTGGGCTTAGCTGGGAAACTATGTTTAAAGTGACACCATTCAGTCTGTTTAGCAAGTCTTGGTATTGCTCCCCTTCCCTGGCAGTCACCTGCAGCATCTTATAAACCATGACCATTTCCCTAGGACTCCACTTCTCAATGTCTTTTTCTTGCATGTGGTTCACAATCTGTTCCAGCATCACGCAACCTGGGCCTTCCAACTCAAGCAAACTCTCTCCAAGAGCACACAGATTTCTAAGAGTCAGCTGTCCTTTAGCAAGCCGCTCCTTCCCCTCTGAAAGCAAGCTTGCCATCAGTGTGCTCCGGGGATCTATACGTAGTTTTATCAAAGCTTGCAGTGCATTCAGCAGCCCGGTGTTTGACAGTTTTGGGGATTCAAATTCAAACTGGAAGCATAATGCCCTGAAAACTTCATTCTCTAACACTCCTTCAGGGTTTTTCAGACCATTGTCATCCACCTCAACTTCAGAAATCCTCTGCAGGGCTCCTGATGCCAGAGTATCAGACATGACTTCCAGAGAGCTAAGAAAGTCAAAAATCTCTTTCGATGTACAAAGGCTGTTCAACTTCTTCAAAAACAGTTGCTCATCCATCCACATGTTATTAGATTTAGTACTGCTCCCATGATCTCCACAAAGATGCACAGTTTCATTAACAGAAAGAGTCTGTATCCACAATTGTACAAGGTTTTTCCTACAAAACATATACTGAGATTTATCTTTGAAACATAGCATCCTCATGGCTACAGAGCTACAGTTTTGGGGCTTTTGCTGCCCACTGATGAAGCTCAACCTTTTGCTTAGGGTCGTCAAAAGGGACCTGCTCGCTGGTGCGCTGGATGAATAAAACTGGAAACTTTTTTGGCTAATCAAAGCCATACTGGATCAAACGTGTTCTCAAAAGATACCTAGAGGAAGAAAAACACATATATATATACATATATAGTTTGGAAAAAAGAATCATTAAAACACAGGCCATAAAAAACCTTTTGGCTTCTGGAGACGACAGGGCTGACCCCTCTCCCCCGACCACCGGCGATGAACCTGCCGGGAGCAGGGAGAGGTGTGTGCCAGGCCGCAGCCTGTCCCTGCCCGGCGTCTCCCTAAAGCACCGTGAGGGGGAAGAAGCAACGGGGACGTTTCCTCCAGCAGCGCGGCGGTGCCTGCCTCCTTACCCCAGCGGGCCGGGGCCGCCGGGCAGCAGAGGGGCTCCCGGGGGAGAGGGGGGGGGAGAGGGGTGTGTGGGGTGTGTGTGTTCCGGCAGCCGGGGCGTCGATGGGTGATTCCGACACGGGCGGGCCTGGGCCTCTCCGCCCGCCCGGCCTCGCAGGCCCCACGCCTCCCCCCGCCGAGAGCGGCGAGAGACGGGCAGGCCGAGGCGCGTCTTCCCCTCCCGCCCCAGCCCCTACCGCCGGCCGGGGCGCCAGTCCCCCTCCCTCCGGCCTCCCTCCACCGCTGAGGACTGCCGGCGCTGCCGGGGGAGCCTCACCTCCGCCGCCATGACGGGCAGCGCGGGGACTGCCGGGAGCTTCCGCCGCTCTTCCGGCGCCTGCCTCAGGCCGCCGCCTTCCCGCTCTGGGGCCGCCTCGCCCCGTCCCGGCCCCGTAGGTCTTTGCGTGGCGTAGCGCGGTGGAACTCGGTGGCTTTGCTTTGGGAGCCGGATTTGTTCCCGTGTACGTATGGATCAAAAGCGCACCCTTCAGCTCCCCTCGGCCGCAGGGTAGCGCTCTGAGGGGCAGCCGGGCGGGAGGCGAGGGGCCCGGCGCTCTGGGAGGCTTGAGTTGCTGCAGCTGCGTAGAAGCCTCCGGTGTGGACCCGGCTTTAGCTCCCGGCAACCGCCGGCCCTCCTGAGGGATGGGTCTCCTCCTTCCCGGCCGGGTGTCCGTTGGTCCACCCAAATATTGCTGGGTGGAAGGTCAACCCTAGGCCCTGAAAGGTTTCACATGCTGCTGTCTCGCTGCTTTCATTGAGGTTTTAATGGGTTTTTTACATTTATCTTGGTCGCAGAGTGAAAGTGATTCTGAGCAAGCCTGTAAGAGTTGAAAAAATGGTATGGGAATGGGCATGGCTCTGAAGGCACAGTCCTGCAACCCGGTTTAAAACCATGCAGAAGTCTGTAAAAGCTACTGCAGGAGCTTCATGTGTTTTTATCCTGCCATGCAGTTTGACATTTTTTGACAGACCAGCTACATGAAATAGGAAGTTTGGCCTTACAGTACAGCTCCGTAGTTACCAGGTCCAGCACATCTGGTTCAGTAAAACTCTGACTGGTGTTCACACTTGACTTGTTTGCTCCCTATGGTGTGTTGTTGTATGGAGCCAGTGGGCTCCCTATTAATCTTTTGTGAACTGGTAGTTTTCTGAATTTTCTGAGTACTTGATTGGATGAGCTATAATTTGGAATTTTGTGCTTAGTTTCACTGTAAGACCTGGTTTGAGCCAGGACATCCTGGCTTGTTTTTCCAGCTTAAACTTTGTGGTGTTTTTTGGCCTGTGACTACCAAAACATCAACGTGTTAAAGGCTGCTGTTGTGGTAATAGTATTAAAGTTAGATGGATTCTCTAGAAAGCTCAATAGTCAAGAGTTACCATTTTTCCCCCCTCTTTATTTCAGTTGAACTGAGACCACATAAGTGGAAGTAGCATATCATCTTTGAAGAGTGTATAGTGCAGCAAAGCAAGAGTAACGCAGGCAGTGTGTTCATCTGAGTGCAGGCGTGTTCCTGGTTTGTGACTGTGTTCATCTGCAGGTAGGCATGACTGATTTTCCTTCCTTTTAGCAGGCATCACTTGATCAGTTTGTGTGTGAAGCTCTTCTGGTTGATGACAGAGCGAAGGTGCTCTCACAGGGAGAAGCTCTTCAACTTGTGTAGTTTAGATCGAAGCAAGATCCAAGGGATGTTATTGATCTGTTAACGACATACTGAACTGTTAGGTGGTTAATTAAACTACTGTTTAATCAGTTAATTGAACTATATATTCAAAATTAGTAGCAATGCAACAGTTACAATATTATGCATTTAGGAAATGTTAATAAATGCCTACAAACATTTAAACAGGCTTCTGTATCTAATTGCAAGGAATTGTCTAATTGTGGCCTCCCCCTTCCCCACAAGCACACGTTGGCACTGTTAGGTACGCACAGTCCCCTCTCAGGAGGTACGCATCTCAAGCACAATCCCCTCTTGTGGCTGTGTGGGTTCTCTTGTTAACACACACCTTCTATGGGAGATGTGATTCCTCCAATTTTTGTGTCTCTATGCTATCTACTAGTCTGCACGCCAGTGAGAAAGCTCCCTGCCAGTTCACATGCATGCACCCGAGATGTGGGTAGCTCCTTTTTGCACCCTTTGTTGTTACTGTACTAACTGGAGTGGAAGCAGCTCACAGTGTCTGATGGGGAGGCTGCTTTACCTGACCTAGGCTGAGATCACAGTGCTATTAGGGTAACACCTGGCCATGTCAAACCACATTGTGACAGCTCTTCTTTCTGTTGCCCTCTCCTCTACCCCTGCTATTGCACATTTTCATGCTTCTCTTATACATCTTCCCAAGCTGACTCTTTTCTTTGAAGTCTGTTGGTAAGCCCCTGGCTATAATGTTGGCAGCGCAGCTTACCCCTCAGTTTTTTGTGTATAGAAAGCTTCTGTGCTATGCTATGATGTGGTCCCAGTGGAAAACTGATTATCTTTCTCCCTTTCTGAGGTATGAGAAAGAATGTAGTAATGAAATGCTGCTTTATCTTTATTGTTTTTCTACTTTTGTAGTCAGGCATTGCCACCTGCTGACAGGAGAACCATTAGGGTGAAAATATAGCATATGACTAGGATGAACCTGTATTTCTACAGGGATCGGAGGGTATTTAAACTGTATTTCATATGAATTGTCACAGTTTGTGTGTCATCAAATTTCCTTGCATTTCTTTTCAAAAAGGAGGATGAAAAATCATTTTGTGGATTGTTTTGGTGTATGCCTCTTCTTCTGTGCACATGCACATGAAGCCAGTTATTTAAATGAATTTATTTAAAGTGACTGTTAAGTTCATTACTAATGTTTCTAGGTAATATAATGTAATCAATTTAAAGTGAAAACTATAATAGACAACGGAGTAGAACAAAATACAAAGAAAGCTTTAAAATTATCTAGTAACTACATTTTTCATGGAATTCAGGTATGGTACAGGCGCTGTACTCTGAGGAAGCTATCACTTAGTTTTACCACTTTTGATTTACAAGTATGCTTTAAAAAAAAAAAATATTCTTACTGGAGAAACCTTCCGCCATACTGTGGGAGTATCGTATCAGTAGAATGCTGTAGTCATCTTCTGTAATTGAGCTCTGTTGGTTTTCCCTTGAGAGAAAAAGGAAAAAGATAAGCTTCAAATTGCTTAGCCACAGGTTTCCATAAACCTGTGTATGTGGCTAGTATGCTGAAAGCTTTGCGTAGTTGAATCTGTGTGGGAGCAATAGGTAAAGTGCAGCAAACTGGGCCCAGGCGTGTGAAAAAAAATCTCAGACTGGGAACTGAAAATTACTCAGTTGTAATTCTAGGTGTTTGAGTTCTACTGCAGCTCCCTAGCAGTGAGAAAATATTGACAGAAAATTAATTTGTAATACACACACACATGAGACATTCTGCTTGTCTCTTATTTGCTGCTTCTTGAAGTTGTCCTTGTATCTGTTGTGTTCTGTCTGTGTCAAAATCATGACAGAAAACTTTTGGCATTCAGACTTTCATGGGACAGCTGAATGGATAAGGATATGCATCTCATTCATCCTGCTGCTTGCAAGACTTTGTGAAGGAGTGGCATATTATACTACAGCAGATTTCTCTAAGGTGGTTTCTTATTTTTAGAAGAAAAAACCCCAAAGTTTCAATTCTGAAGTTATACTTGTATAAGAAACTCCTTTTTGAAATATGAAATTAAAACCAATGTTGGTGTTCTAAAATATAGACATAGTGGATAGTAAAGTGAAAAGGCATTCAGGCAAAAATGCTGATTTCAAAAAAGAAAACACTAAGAATTTTTTTCCTCAGGTGTTGTAATTTGACTTCACCACGTCTATGGTTTGTTTTATTTTCAAATACATCTCAGAAAAGTTACCAAAGCAGTCACTGACTTAAACTGGAAAATACAACTTACATAATACAAGTAGTATTTATTTTCAGGAGACTAGTTTCTCTATTGTATTATTTGCAAACTATATTCTTGATACTGGGCATACTGCAATATCAAGGTAGTACAGCACATATGACCAATATTACGAGTCCTTTGCAAACTGGCTTGCAAAGCTTGGTTGTGAGAAATGGATTCCCTTCAGAGTAGATGCCTCATTTCCAAGTTAAACACCAGTGCTTCTGTCCTCTAAAGTATCTCTTTTTAATCTAATAAACAAAGCAAAATCTTGCTGTTCTGCATGCAATAAATTCCCTTTTTTTTCTTCTTTTTTTTCCCCCTGCAGTGTCTTTAAGGGAAAAAAAAAGTGCTGTGTTTTGAGAAATGTGCTGTGATTTAAAAAGGAGGTTTTTGCTCCTTTATGCAACACAAAAGGGACAGGCAAAAGCCATAGCTGAGGAAATATGGCAGCAAGCAGGTGCCCATGGACTTGAAGCTGATATGCACTGTATAAGTGAAATGGACAAGGTGAGGTACTCCATGCTGTTTTGAAAAATAGGTATTTAAGGGCTGCATTTTTATTCATGTGCTAGAGTTAATAATCATGAAGGCTGAGCACATCCAGCCAGCTAAAATATACTATCTAGTTTTAAATTTTCATTTCGTACTAATCTGTAATTTGGACCAATACTCACAGATGCTTAGTAGCCTTCTGCCAAAGGTATATCTTTCTTGTGATTTTTCTTATTAGAACAGTAATTTAATATATCTTTGATCTCTCTTCTAACAGTGCAGTGACTTCTAGAAAATGATTTATGTATGCAGTGGTGAATGAATTCTGTATTTACTGGTCAGCTTTCCTGTTGTTAGAAATGACTATATTTTTTCTGTTGTTTTTCTGTGACATTGAGGTCCTGTGTTCTCTTAAGGATGGGCTTCAACGTGACCCTGAGCTTTTGTGAGGTCTTCTTGAGTTACTTAGCATATGCGCTCACTGCAGTTCACACTGGGTGCACTGAAGATCTATTCTAGAAAGAAATGCAAAGCTTGGCTGGAGCAAGGAAGTGGCTTTTTATTGTTTGCTGTTATACAAGGGTTATGACGTGAAAACTGTTCGTGTCTGTGACTAAAAGCAATATGGACTGTAATTTCCTTCACAAAGTACTTTCAGCTGCATGTCCTCAAACAAAAAAAACAAACCAAACTTGATAGCCTGCTATTTCTATATGAGATGAGCAGAGATGATCACCTAAAAGAGTTTTTTTCATGCACTTGAAAATGTGAAAACTTTATATAAATAATTTGGTTCCCTTTTAGCAGTGGTTTCTTGGGGATAACACTGCACGTTGGGTAGCTGGACATCTGCATTAGAATGAGTGTTCACTGAGTAAGTAGCAAAGTGTTAACAGACTTCTACGCAGCCAGCGGGGACTGTGAAGGTTCTCCTTATATTCTTCCATTTCATTTCTTCTGCATTTGACAGGTTTGGAGATTAGTTTCAGGAAGGCGGTAGGCAGGATATTTCTAGCTTGCCACTTGAATAAATCTATTTTGTCAAATTTGGCAAGACAACTCAGAACTGCAAGTTATTGATGAGGTAGAAAGATGTACTGAATTGAGACTCTGAGAATGGGCACTGAAGAAAAAAGTAATTTCTGCAGCTTTGTAGATTTTATCACTTAAGCTTTTCCTTACCCTTTACTGTAAATAAAGAGAACTTCTAGAAGTGTAGATGTAATTGAAGGGGTCGGGGGGAAGGCTGGGTGGCATAACGTACTGGCGCAAGAGCTTGCTTGAATTCAGTAGTGCCTCTTGTGAAGGCTTTGGGACATATTAGATATGAGAATTTATTCTACAACATGCATGTTTTGGAGAGGAGTGTGTGTCTATGTCTTAGGTGAGGAAGTAAGAAGTTTCAGTTAGAAGGCCCATCTTTATGTAGTGGTTGGGTATTTCTCAGACCTTGTCATCAGTTAAAGGGATTGCTGTGAAGGGCTATGGATGGAATAGCTGGCTACAGAGTCAATAATCATAATGTGCTCCTGTTGCCATACAGAAATGAATGATCAAATACTGCTCAAGTCTCAGAAACACTGGCTGTTCCCAAGTAGTGTCTCTCACCTACATTCTTATAGGTGAGAAAAGGTCATTAATCTTTGGTTGGTTACTGTGATTGCTTTTTATGCTTGCTGAAAGACTGAAATGAAGTGGAAGTGAGATAGGAGCAGTAAAATACAAGGCTAAATGGAGATCATCTTGGGTCATAGGGCATGTTGTCAGCCTTGGGTGAGTTGTTTGAATAAGCACGTTTGCCATGATATGTATTATTGTGTTTAAGACATCATGTGGGTGTCTGATCCCATCCTCTTCCTTCAGCAATGGTTCACAGCTTGAGCAGGTGGCTCACTGCTGTTGTGTGCCCTTGCTGTGCTCAGCTGAGGAGTGCTTTTGAAGGAAAGAGAAAGAATGGGACAAAGATGTAACACCAAGGGTATGGGAAGAAGTGGAAAGTAGAGTGAAAAAATGTAATTGTGTAAAATGTTGGCCTGGTGATACATCAGACTTCTTGATAATTGATACAAATCAGTGCAGGACCTCTGTCCTTCCAGAGGCCAGGTGGCCTTGACTTTTCTTCTTAAGGAGTCTGTCCACAAGCATTTGGCTTCCAAAAGGTCTTTACGTTTGCACAGGGGAATGCGTAGTGGAACAAGCAAGAATTTAATGAACTAATCATACCTCTGTTCTAATATACTACCTTTTACTTTCTATGCTTGTATCTTTTTTCTTTTTTTCTTTTAAATGAAACATAATCTAGTGTTATTTTTTATGTGACACCAATATACTGTCTCATTTTGTACCTGAAGGGTTTGCTTTTCTTTGTAAAAGCAATAGTCATCTGTGACGGTACACTGCAAAAGCTCTTGTATTTGTAGTTAGAAAAACAGCTGTGAAAGCTTTGAAAATCTGAATTACTGCAACAGGACCCTTAAGGTCTTTTATTGCAAAAGTTACAATTCGGTTTTGGAAGTCTCAGGAATTTGTGGCTACTTGGAGTTCACCTGAACTTGTAAAAGACAAAACCTCTGTTTGGAACATTCCTGGACAATAACTCAGTGAAGCCTGGCAAAGTACTTGGGCAATATCCTTGCAAGCTTTCTCTCTTCTCTTAAACTTCTCTAGACACCTGCAATTGGCCACTGTCTGTAGCAGGACACTGTTCCAGGTGGTAATTTAAATTGATCCATGCAACTGCTTTTGGTCCTGCTGAAAGGTTTTGGAAAAAAATGACAAAGTGAAACCCCTTGATGCTCTGTTTCTTTGTGTTCCTAACTTTTTTGGATTGTGGATGTAAGGGGTAACTTTTTATATGCCTTGAGGAGGGGGTAAGGTTTGAGTGATTTATTGAGTGAAGTGTTTAGAAGATAACTGCTCAAACTCTAAAGTTTGGAATTGCAGTCCTGAAACTGCTTGCAATTAAACATAGCATCTCTTGCAAACTTTATTTGTATTTTCTCACAACCCTACTATTTTATTAAACTTGGAATGCTGGGGAGAGTTTAAACTGAAACCTACAGAGAGCGGTAAAAGAAGCTCAGGTTGCTTACTGTGGCAAAGGGGAGGCTAAGGACAACCTACTTGAGCCAAAGTCTTCTTGGCAGCAGAAGACTACAACAGAAGGCAAAACCCACTGAGCACGGCCTGTGACCTTATTAACAACCTACTTGAGCCAAAGTCTTCTTGGCAGCAGAAGACTACAACAGAAGGCAAAACCCACTGAGCACGGCCTGATAAACTCAGATTTGACGCTAATGGAAGAAGCTCTTCTGGGTGGAAGAGGCTGCCCAGAAGAGTGGAATCTCCACCCTTAGAAGTTTTCAAAATCCAGCTAGAGTCATAGCTGACCTGGGCAGCGCTGGCAGTTAGTCCCACTTAGAGCATGGCGTGGGACTGGGTGACCTCCAGAGGTCACTCACAAACAGGGAGTCTGTGTTTCTGTGGAGCTGTGTTTCACATGGTTGCTCACTGTCTGTGATTCAAAACCCATAGTCCATCAGGGTGCTGTTAAATGGTGTATTGTGTGAATTACCTGACCAACAGCACTCTAGCACAGTGCTGCAGCTTGCTATCAGTGGAAAGCTTGAATAATTACAGAAACAGAATGCTTTTCACTTGAGAAGTAATAAATGGTTTCACGAGACCTGAATTTATGGAACTGACACACAATCCCAAGTGTAAGCAGCTCATGTCAAGCTGGTATAATGGGAGTAGCACTGATAAAACTGTGGGAAATGTGAAAGATCTGCATTAGCAAAGGGGAGATAAATGAATGGAGAGTAAAGTGAAGGGGCCAAAAGGAATCAAACTGTAGAGCAGGAACTCGTTGTCTCTATTAAGAGCTACCTTAGTGCCCCCAAAGCACAGGGGCTTTTTAGTGGCAAAGATAGATGTAACATGGAAGTTATCAGACAGAACCAAATGATCCCTAATGAAATGTACATAATATCCCATCAGTTTGTACAGCCAAACCTGTTATATGTATGAAGTTACTGGGGTTATGGCTAACTGTGTGATTGTGATCATGTATAAAAGATGCTTTTTCCACCTGACAAAGCAAATACTGGACGAGTTGTGTATTTAAGCTGAGTGCAGTTGTGAAGTATTCCTTGTGTGAGTACCAGCCTGCTCAAAATGCTGCCCTTCAGTGTTTGTTTATGGGATCATAGGATAATTCAGGTTGGAAGGGACTTCATGAGGTCGTCTCACAAGAAGGTCAGCTGAGGTCAGAGCAGATTCCTCAGAGCTTTACCCAGTCTGGTCTTGAAAACTCTAACTGAGATTGTAAATTGAATCGCCAAGATGTCTTGAAAGACCTTCTGTGGTTTAATACAAGTACGATGAAATTAAACATTTTTCTGTGTACACAAATAGGTATTAAATGGCCCCTTGTAACTTACTTGTTCTATATTTGTAGTATAACCTGGAAACAGAGAAGGATCCTGTAGTTATTGTCATTTCCACTACCGGTACTGGAGACCCACCAGACACTGCCCGCAAGTTTGTAAAGAAAATTCGAGACACAACCTTGCCTCCTGATCATTTCGCACATCTCCAGTATGGATTGCTAGGTGATTTAGTATTTTCTATATTATTGCAACACTTGTCTGTCAGTAAATGATTTTTGTATTTCTTACTTGTGAATAGGTTGTTTGGGTTTTTTTAAAATGCTTGTAAAACATTTATTTTTATAACATGAACAGCTTTTTTGTGTAATGTCCTCTATGAGCAATGAAGGAAATGTATCACAGAAATGATCTGAAGGTAAGCTAACAATTTAAATTTTTTTACAGTTTAATTTTATTTGCATAAGCAAAATGTGATGTAAGCTATCTATAATTGTTGAAGTTTTGATCTTTTGCCAAGTCTCTATGGACTTGTTTACTTGATTTTGAGAGTAATTGAGCATTTTTCTATATAGAGGGAAAGGCAGCATTAAGTGTTGTTAAAAAAAAATAAGGTTTTAAGATCATCCCTTCTGTTTACATTTGCAATATATATATATTTTTTTTTAATTTTGAATGTCATACTTGTCAATAGAAGGAATATAACTTCAGGTTAAAGATTGATATGCAAAATACAGATTTGGCAAAATACATCTGATATATCTTGAGCTGATGGTAAGGTCAGTGTGTCGAGAGTTCAGTTTGTATTTAAACAAACTCCAAAAGCTTCTATTTGAACCTAGGTTATTTTTGCCTGACAAGTTTAAGGTGATGGGTAGAAGCAAGGAAAATTCTAGATTTCTAGTGAGGAAAGGAAATTTCTAGTGGATTTATAATGTGATAATCTGAAATGTATGCCTCTTAATCATGTAACGTTTGGAGAAGATGATGTGCTGTTGCCTAGTTATACATTACAGTTTGTGAAATGGTTAGATTTTTCACAGCTGACTGAATTCATATATGCATATATGAAGATAAGCATTGAATTAATACTGATTTTTGTTCTACCAGATATTATTATAGTATCTAAGCTATAATAAGTTTTGGGATTCTAGTCTAAAAAGTTATCAGTCTTAAAATACATTCATAGTATCTATTTCAGCTTGTCCAATGAAGTGTTTGCTCTAAGTATTTGAGAGGGCACAGAAGTCTTTTTAAAAGAAAAGAAAAAAAAAAGCTATCATGAAGGAGAAAGGAATAGTCCATTGCTAGGTGGGAATAATAAAGGTCTAGTGGTTTGAAATTGTACACAAGAAAGGGTCAGGCAGTGAAAAAATGTGATAGTTAGGATAGTGAAACATTGGTGCGAATGAATTACAGAGTTTGTGAAGATTACCTAACCTTTGGGATTGTTAGATAAACTTCAGTTAAGGATGAGGTAGTGTTGTTAATCACTTCTAGGGGGGGTCAGTGGTCTAGTTGATCTGTTAGAATCTCAGGTCCTCCATGAGCATAACTCCTGAGTCCAATGCCTTTTTAACAAAGAGCATCTTCTAACAGAATGTCTTCATGACTGTTAAAGGGCAGAAAACCCAGCGCAGTGAAATTGAGATCTACAAAGAAATCTGATTCCTGAGGAGGAGGATGTCAGACCAGATTTGGTTATGCACATTTTCATACATTTCTTAATTAATATTGTTTAAAATCACTCCTGTGTTCGATTTATTTTTGTCAAGGTTCCAATATTTTTAAATTACTTTTAATACTGTCTCCCTTATGTCCTTGACATATATTAACAATTTTAACCTGAAGGTGAGGCAATTTATTTTGGTAATTCACATACAGTTTATCAGTTTCACTATTTTCTAATTATTTCAGTTCCTTACATTTTTTCTTTGAGTGGTTTTGTATTTTTTAAAAGCCTCAAACTAAAGCAATATTCCTCTGAAGTGTGAAATATTCACAGCGAAGTGTTGTCAGAGAAATTCTGTGTCTTACATTTGTGAAAGAGGAACCACTTTTTCAGCCCTACTTTGGAACAAGCAAAGGTTTTTTTAAGGTCACCAAAGTGTCCTGGTAACACGCACTTTGCTATATCAGATCTTCTGTTTGCCTGCAAGAAAATCCTGTGTTGTCTTTGCAGATCTTTGGCTGTGTAGCCTGGGTGACATGATTACTCTTTCCTTACATTTGCTAGGTCTGGGAGATTCAGAGTACACATTCTTTTGTAACGGTGGAAAGACAGTAGACCGAAGACTGCAAGAACTTGGTGCCCAGCGCTTCTACGACACAGGATTAGCAGATGATTGCGTAGGGTAAGAGCTGAGTTAGTTTGGATTTTATTTTTTCAGCATGCAATAATAATGTGTGAATTTGGCTAAACATTGTGAACTCTTTTAAGTCAGCAGGACTTGAATACTCAGCACCTCATAGGAATGAGTCCTGTCTGAACACGGTATACTTCTTCAATCTTAATTGCCATTAAATAAAACTCCATTTTTAAAGTGTGAGCAAACATCTGTAATGCCTGGAAAAATGGAGGGCAGCAGTTACAGAAATTAAGTAATTCAGAATAAGTGGAGGGATTTAAAAATGTAGACAGTTTACTGAAGCAAATAAAAATAAATCCAGTTCGCAGCATGCGTGGTACTGGCTAATGGAATCTGTTTCTACGTATGTATCAGGCCTTTATCCAAGCTTACGTCTTGAAGTAGAGCTACTTTAAACAAACCCTACAATCATTTCTAATTTTTTTTCTCTGTTCCATAAAACATATTTTTTTTCTGTTTTTTCCTCTACTTTTGTGACTGGAGAGGAATTATGTAAGGAGGGGTTTTTTTATTGCTGTAGAGGAATTATGTAAGAAAACTATTCCCTTCCTGTTCTGTTGCTCTTTCTCGCCAGTAGGCTGCAGTCTTGGCTTATTTATTTTGAGCTGGAGATAATATCATGTCTCTGCATGATGATACGAGGCAGTTGAACACAAACATTACCATAACTGTAAAACTTATATCTTTTGTTCTAAAATAATAAAAATGGAACATTAGTATAAGCTATTGATATTGCACAATGAAAAGTTGCATATTTTACTACCATCCCTTCAACGTCCTGTTATAAAGTTCAGCATAAGAAAATAAAAATGAGAAACTGGAAGAAGAGTAAGGCTGTTACACACTTTAGACTCTACAAATAGTGGTAATAACTAAATGAAAATATCTTTTTAACAAAAAAGTCATCCTGGTAACAGCTACAGATATATATTAAAAATGGAAAATGAATAGTATTTTTAGCTTTTGTTGTCTTTTCATTATTTGTAAATTAACGGTCCATTAAGTCACAATAATTCATCCATTCCTTTCTCCTTTTTTTTTTTTACTCCCTTTCCAGTTTGGAATTAGTGGTTGATCCTTGGATTGATGGACTTTGGCTTGCCCTCAAGGAAGCATTTCTATTGCAGAAAGAAAAAGAAGGCATGAGCAGTGATGTTGATGCTGTTTCTAGCTCTCTCTCTGCGGCCCCCCACATTGTGCCTGAACAAAACTTAAGCTCAGAAGTACAGAACTTGAAGCTAGAAGATGGGGGAGTGAGAAATTCTGATCTGCTGACACAGAAACTGGTTGACATCAATCTTGTGGCTTCAACTGGAGACACTGAACCTTCACTTGCTCGTTCTGTCCCTCCTGTCTCTCAGTCTGCTCTTAATATTCCTGCCTTGCCACCAGAATATATAGAGGTGCAGTTTCAGGACACCCATGGTGAGGTAAGGACTTTGAGTGATGAAAGGCTTCAGCTCTGGTAGCAGCATGAGTGTTTACTCCTACATATGGCTCAAAAGAGCAAGTGGATATTTCTATAAGGGTGATATATCCCTGAACGCAGGAGGTTTATGAATTGTAAGTGAGAGGCCCATTTATATTGAGAATATTTAGTTACTACCGTATGAGTTATGGACACTCATGTCAAAGTATAGTTTAGCTAAATAATAATTTGCCCTTGCAGTGCCAGGAATGGAAAAATTAAAATCCTCAGTGTCTTATGTTAGGATGGTGAAAACGTCTTCCTGCAGAAAGACGTATAGGACAGTTTCTGTTAAATTTTTAGTACTTGCAGAATACCTTAAGAGGGTGTAAAATTGCTCAAAATCTTGCTGCATATTTAATAATAGAGAAACTTGTCATTGCAGAAATGTGATCATAATTTTATTATTGGAAATGGAAGGCGAACTGTAGATCGAAAGCCAGTGTGCTTTTCCTATGAATCCATGTTGAACAAAGACCTGCTGTACAAAGAGAAGAATTAACATCTGCATCACAAAGTCTTAGTCTGTAAATCTGCAGTGATGTTTTTAGATAGCTTCTGGTCTTTCTTCTTATGTCCGTTCTGTATACCTAGTAATTCTTTTATTAGGCAGGAGGTTTTGGGTTTTAACATAAATGCCATTCTCTAATTGGCTGTTTTCAAGGCAGCTCTTGAAAAAGGAAAGAGCTTGCTGCATTTGATAGTGGTTTGGGCCCATTAGAGTGTTCAAGCCTACTGACTTTTTATAGTTGAATATATGCCTGTTACTGCTTGAATGTGATTTTTAAAAATGTAGAGAAAAACACTCTATGCATATAGAAGATTCATGTTTTTCCTCATAGTTTTGAATTGTTTTCTAAGATTGTTTGAAAAGAATTGTAACAACACTAATTCCTGTATGTCATAGTAAACTGTCATTCAGCTGGTTTGCGTTTTTAGTGTAAGATTTTGTGTCTCTTTTTCAGAATCCACATCTGTCCTCACTGGTTTTGGAGGGAGCAACCTTTGAAGTGCCAGTTACAAAAGCAGTTCAGCTCACTCGCGAAGATGCAATAAAAACTGCATTGCTCTTAGAACTTGATACTGCAGTAAGTTAATGATGGCTTTTTTTATAGTGGGTTAAAATAAAAGGTGAAATGCATGTGTGTTATGTATAATAACTGAGGGGATAATTATCTGAATGCTTAAAAAGAAAAAAATAATTCCCTCTACAACAGGATGTCAGCTTAGGCTGTTCCATTTTGTAAGTAAAGCTTGGATTTGTTTGCTGAAACATATGACTCCTTGGAATCAAAACAGAAATAAAGTGTCAAATTAATTTATTTGTTGTTCCATGGATATTGCGTTAATGAGTTATTATGATCTTGGCTAATTATATAATGCGTCCTCTTAATACATATTTATTTTCCTTCTGTTGAGGAAAGTCCAAACTATTTAAAACAGATAGGGAAAGACTTTTCTAATTAGTGAGGTTAAACCTGAAAAGAAAACATGAGTATTTAGTTTCTGATGTGGTCCAAACAGTGAAGTGCTGTTACAGAGTAAAAGAACATACGACTTCATGTGACCACAACAGTCGGAAGGTTTCTGCTGTTAGGAATTGGGATGCTGTTGGCCTTGGTTTATGATACAATTTAATAGAAATTATCTCATATTTTAAAACAGGAAACAGTCTTTGACTATCAGCCTGGAGATGCCTTCTGTGTGATATGTCCCAACAATGTCAATGAGGTGGAAGAACTTCTTCAAATCTTGGGACTTTCTGAAAAAGGAGACTGTTTTGTTTGCGTAAAGGTTAAGCAGGGCACTAAAAAGAAAGGTATGGTGTGATGCACTGGTCGTGAACAAATACTCCTTTATGTACTGGTAGTAGATGGTATGCATACTTTTCAATGTTTTTGTCATCAATATTGGGACGCAGCTGTCATTTCACAGAAGCATGTTGGAAGTCACAGAAATGTGTTAAAAAAGAGAAAGGATGCACAGAATGCTGCTGCTGGTTTTACTATAGATGAGTTAGCTTCTGATTGGGAACTTGAGCCTGGCGTTGGTGTTCAGCCATCCACGTGGATGTTCTTTTTCCTGGTAATCATTCCTCTGAATTTCTTCAAGGTGGAAAGTGGCAACAAACCATGAGTGGTTTAGCAATGAAATTTATTTGAACACTCATGTGTTATACCCCTCTGTTTCTGGCTTTCTTGATAAATTTTGGCTGTTCTATGGAAAATTGTTATTGATACTTCATTGGAAAACTGTCTTGCTGTTTAGTTTGTAATTTCCACTAACCAGCTGGGGTTCAAACATACAGAATGCAGTTTAGCTCTCTTGTATTTCTTGAAGGAACAAGACACCCTGTGATGCCATTTTTGGATGTAAATGGATGCACATTTTTTGTTGTTGCTGTTTTTTTTCTCCCACTAAACTAGGAGCAACTCGTCCACAACACATCCCTGAAAGAAGCACTCTGAAATTCATTCTAACCTGGTGTCTGGAAATAAGAGCAGTTCCCAAAAAGGTGATTATGTGTTTGTTCTTTTAAAGAGAAATCCTTAGTAATTCTATGCTCTATTGGTTCTTACAGATGTATCCTTGATTTGTTTGTAATTACCATGTTTCTTGGAGAACAAGGATTGTCAGTTCATATGCTTCTGTTTTTACTTATTCTGAGAAATTTGACCTCTGGTACTTTTCCTGGCAAAGTGTGAAATTCCTAAATCTCTACTCCCATTCAGCAGTTCCTTGATTCATAACTACTCTGGAAGTAAATAGAAAAGTGTTAGATATTTGGTGCCAGATAACTGGAAGGGTGACTGAACCTGGCCCTGTAGGCATTTTAGAGAAATCATTATTTCTAGTCAGAGGGAGCCATATCTGTCAAATTTTGTCACTGAAAATATGTGTGTTGCTCTATGCAAACATACCATAATGTCTTTTAATTTATTTTAAAGCTTTTCTTTAGCATTTCAGTAACCTGGAAGAATTCAAAGAAAGATTTTTGCTTGTATAGTATTTGTTCTCACAACTTGTGAATATTATTTTGCTTTCACTCTGTGTCTGCAAAAAACTGGAAGCTTGCAACTGGAAATGCGTGTGTATTTCTGGTATTGTCAAAACACATTTAGAGAAAACTTTGTATGAAGGATGAAGCGAAACAGTTGTGTTGGTTGGGTCTCTGAGGGAAACCGGTTTTTGGAAGGACCTTTTCACTCAATTTAGGGGATTTCACAGCAGAAGAGAAGAGAATCTTCCAATCATTTCAACCTTTTCAAAACTGTATTTAACAATTTTGAAAATCTGTCTCGACAATAAGAGTAGGCTGAGAGTGCTGGCTGGGGAATATCACCCAAGCCAGTTTTTATAACCTAGCTGCTCTGTTATCTGTAGAGTATAGAATGTACTTTATGTAACTCAAAGCTGTTGTCTTGAAGCTGAGTGTTTGAGCACGCTCCAATTACTTTCCAAGTATTATTCTGTGTAAAATACATCATCTGATTGCATTTGGTGTTTTGGATCACTTTTCCTTTATGCACCATGTCTATTTCCACCTTGCTTTTGGAAAAAAAACTTCTAACTATTTACATCTGGTTTTTATTTATCTTACAATGCTCAATTTAATTTTCCCTGAAGAAAAGCATGCAGCACTGTTATGTAGGCATAAAATATGGAATAAAACACCACAGCGCCATTTACATGACTCATTAAATACCATGCTTTATTCACAGTAATATTTCTTCTAACACTTCTTATTATTCCTTTCCCAGCTTCTGTAACTTAGCAAATGGTGTTTTGTCTTGAATTAATTCATGTTATGGGGCTGTTTACTTAACTGAAGTGCAAATACATAAATAAGAAAACCTTATATAAATTTGAGATTTATCAGGGAATGGGTTGTGCCTAGTTGCCTGTATATTTGTCCCTCCCCACTCAGGCTAACTAGGATTTTCTGACCTGCTAGCTTGTCCCAGACATTAGAGAAGCAGCCAAAAAAAAAAAAAAGAAAAATGTAAATTTTTAATAGTAGGCGAAAGTGTGCATTAGGAAATAAAATGTGTTATCCATTAACCTGTCAGGTAACTTTTTCCTGTCCCTAGGCAACCCACATTTTTCCCAGTTTTGTGACGATTTTTGCAAATGGACATGGTTTTCTTTTATCCTCCACTCTTATTTTCTTCTCTGCAGGCCTTTTTGCGAGCTCTTGTAGAATGTACCAGTGATGTGGGAGAAAAACGGAGGCTTCAAGAGCTTTGCAGCAGACAAGGAGCCTCTGATTATACGCGCTTTATTAGAGAGTCCAATGTTTGCTTGCTGGATTTACTTCATGCTTTTCCAAGCTGCAAGCCTTCACTTAACCTCTTAATAGGTAAGTGACTGATTTAGACTTAATTGGGTTTCCTTTCTGAAAATGCATCGGACTAAATGTTCAGTTTCCCAAGAAAGGGGAATAACTCTTCCATTAACTACCTTAGAAATATTGTAGTTTTCATAGTGATGAAACTAAAACTGTTGCTGGGGAACAGAGCTCTGTGTGTGTAGTCTTTGACCTTCATTCTGCAAACACTTAGGTGCATACCTGTGCTTCAGTTGACTCTGGATTGCTCCTATGCATTAAAAATAAGCATAAGGTGCTTGCAGGAATAGGGTCTGTTACTCCACTGTATGTTTTCTGGCATTTGCTGTGCCTGATTTTTCTAGTATTGCTTGCTTGTCACCATTCCACACTGTTCACTTAGCAATATGTCTGTCTCCTTTTAATATACCCTTCTCCTCAGCCAAAATGTGCAGTCTGTACTTCAGGACAAGTCGTTCCATTGAAGACACTGTATCTATGTATGTATAGGTACATATATGTGTAGACATAAACATGTGTGTGAGAGGGTGATAGATATGTTGTGGGTTTCTCATTGAAAAAATGGCCAGTAAATTCCTGTCTGTTACTGTTTGGGTGTTTTTTTTAAGCAGTGATTTCAAAATTTGCAAAGGTTTTCATAGTGGTTTGAAATCGAACTGACGCATCTGCTTCTAGGACATTATATATACAGGAAAATTTCAATCAAGAAATTCCTATTCTGAGAGCTCTTGAGCTCCATAAAGCAGTCTTAGATGAAAGGTAGGGAAAAGTAAATTTCAGGCTTCACTTTGTCCACTAACTGCTGGCATCTCTTCTGTGCACCTTTACGTTTTTTTTTAATTGACCAACAACCAACAGTTAACTGTTGTGGCCTCATTTTGTGGTATCTCTAACACCTGTTCCACAAAGTCTAAAAAACATTCAAAATAGAGTTCAGTCTTAATAACTTATTTCTGAGACACAAACACTGAATGTTAATAGAGTAAAATTACAGTTAAACCGTAATATGCTTGTAATCTGTTTTAATGTAAACACACATACGATATTTTCATTTTCATTGGGGTTACTCAAACAATAAGTGATGCTTTTTTTAAATTTTTTTTTTATTTTTTCAGAACATCTTCCTAAGTTACAAGCCAGATCTTATTCAGTGTCAAGGTAATGAAATATTCAAATTTCATCTTTTTTTTTATTTTTTTGTCAAGCGTGTGTATATGTGTATATTATGATCTAAAGAAGAAAGAGAGGAATGAAAGATGCCACCTGAGGAAAAAGTGGCTGTGTCCCTGTTGCAAAAAAAAAAAACCCAGGGTTTGACTATTTCAAACAACATTGTTTTGAGTGTCTGGCAAGTCTTTAATGGAGTTCTCGAGAACAAGCTCACACATGTATGAATCTGATAGAGAGGAATTTGGATTCCCTTCTGTAGGCACTGGCCTCTGAGTCCAATCTTAAGACATTTTCTAACTATATATGAATATCACACAATTAACTCTGCTAACTATTTATAAATATCACTCAGTTAACTGAACACTGAGAAACTTCATTCAAGTGAGGTGGTTTGGGCTGCAAATGGACCTGCTGTAATATTGTACAGCTATCTCTTAGGTTTGGGGTTTTTAAAAATGCTTTTGTCTTTACAGTTCAAACTTATATCAGCCAGGAAAACTATGGTTTGTGTTCAATATTGTGGAGTTTCCTGCCTGTCCCACGAGAGCAGTCTCACGGAAAGGAGTATGTACAGGCTGGCTTGCTGAGTTAGTCACACCTCTACTGCACCCCATTAAAAACAATCTGGATACAAAAGGAGTAAGCCGTTCAACGGAAAAGGTATGAATATTAGATCTAAACTCCCTTAACTGTTAAATTTATACGTTTAGAACAGTTGCAGGTTCACTGCTGTGATGTAATGCTGGTGGTTCGGCAGTACGCATCTTCATTTTGCAGCTCTATCCTACTTTAAGTTCCCTGTGTAATGTGTTTGGAATTTCATTGCTGAGTTGCCAAACTCTGGTATCCACAGATAAAATAGAACATGAGTAGTGAAACTGCCCATTGCTGAAAGGCCAGAGTCGTTTTCCAACTCTAGTCTTAAGCGAGTCTTGGAAGATGTTTTAATGGACTACAATACCACTGTGCAATTAAATGATTATGGCTGTTGTAGGAGAGAGGCACTTAGTCACTTCCAGGTGACAAATAATAGGGGAGAAATCATAAACCTCTTACATCTTGTCAGGTCTCACACAGACCTCAGGTCTCGCAAAGGCCAAGTTGTTGAATGTGACACAGAGGGCAATCTTCTGTGGTATTTCTGATGTGCATCAAAGATGGTTTGGCATAGTGGGTATTACCAGGAGAAGGTACTATTTTTTTGTTTGTCTTTTCATTTTGTGGCAGAGAACCTATCTAATTAATTGGTCTCAAAGTTATTAGGTGTAAACTAATTATTAAAAATATTGAATTATAGTATATAATTAATATGACAAAATATCTACTGCCAGTCTAATCTATATTTGATTGATTAAGAAAAATGCAAACAAGCATAGAATTTAGTTATAAGAAAACTGTGGCACCCATTCAAGGTGTTGGTCTGGCAAATGGAAGGAAAACCCATGCAAGTTATCTTAATTTTTTAAAACTAACTGCAAAACTAAACTGATTAACATGTGCATCATATATCTTATTCCAGTATTCACATATGCTGTTTATTTAAAATATAATCGATTTACACTAGATTAAGGATAAAACATGAAACAGAGGTGGAGTAAAAATTAAACAAAAAGGATTCTTACAAAATTAGTCTGAATAAAGTTCAGTACTATTTGCATCTGCTGCGCAAGCTAGAATTCAGCTAAGATAAAGGTGCAGCAATACACATAGATTGCAGAAATATGTGGAATACCAATACAAAATAGATGAGTGTGATCTTACACAAAAATACCTTAGATTAATTGAAAACATTTTACGTTATAAAAGTGTTTACCATTTGCAGTATTTTTTAAAGGAATGACCAGTTTGGAATCATTAATAGGGAAAATAACCTCCTAACTCAAGTGTGGTTTGAAGAATAAGTGTAATAGAAATCCAAATATTGCCCCCTGCAGGAAGAATTGTAGTTTTTTTAATCATCATCAAACCAGAAAAACAATCCTGTTTAACATTCTAGTATCTATAGTGAATTAAACAGTAAGAAATGAGTGGTGCTATACCACTCAGGCTTACAGAGCAAAGTTTAAATAACTTGGTCTAGTGCTTCATTTCTTTCTTGAACTTGAAAGTCAATTCAAATCCTTTCATAATTAATATGAAAAATAGATTAGTTGTTTGTTTATGACTTGAACGGATGAAGCTCTGCTGTGGCTGCTGCTGAGTCTTGAATAATCTTTTAAAGAATTAAACATAGTCATTTCTCATTTTCTAAACATTATGTTAGCCACATCGCAGAGAGTAGTTGTGGAGCTCCTATGAAAATCATGTTTAGACTTCCTTTCAGATGCAGATCTGAAGATCAGAATTAGAGTTTTATCAGTGGAATGATATAAACCATTTTCCAAGGTCTTTGAGCAGTTATCTGCTTCCCCTCACCCATACGCATTTTTAGAGATCATGTTAAACTTTTATGAAAAATAAGAAAGCAAGTAAGCTCAGTTTGCTATAAACAAATCCTTACCTCCACTGGAATATTTTAGATGTTCACAGTATAAAAAAGGGTTGTGTTGCCAATAATAGCAGTAAGCTTTACTCCCCTTTGAGTACCAACACCAATTTCATGAATTTTGTTAAAAGTATTCCTCAATGTTATGGTGCAGTCAACTTTCATACTCAGAAACTCCTACTTGTGTAACTTTGCCTGGTTTTTTTTTCTAGATTAATTAATAGGTCTGTAAGTATAGAGTGGTTGGGTTGGTTTCTTTTTTTTTTTTCAGAAACTCAAATAAAATTTAATTCCAGATGTCTGTATGGCATGAAAAATAAATTCTGAAGTTCAGGATCTGGAAGGGTGTGTGGACACATACACTATATAAATATCCTAAAGGTTCTAAAACGTTCGTGGCATTTTCACTGCTTAAGAATATTATTTAATTGTATTCTATCTAATTTCATTTTAGATAACTATTTATGCTCGTCCAAACAATACTTTCCACTTACCTGCAGACTCATCTGTCCCGTTCATGATGGTTGGTCCAGGAACAGGAATTTCACCATTTATTGGTTTCCTACAACATAGGTATGTACCAAATTGTTACCTGAAAAGCAACCTTTTTATGTTGAGGAAATTACAGCCTCAGGTTTTGAGTACGAGTATAGCTAATTTTCTTTTCTTGGTCTTATTACTTTTTGTAAAAAAGTATAGTATGCCAATTAGAAAGTCTTATTAATTTTATATAAGCAGTGCTTGTTTGTTTAGTTGTGTTTCAAATGAGTAAAACTTACGCTTCCATCTGACTATATTTAATATCTGTAGTGGATGTATAAGGAATTGGGTGAATTGCAGAAATTAAATCTTCTATGTATGTGTTGCTAGTGAAAGCCCTGTAAGTGGTTGGTAGATGTTAGAAACAGTATTGATTGGCTTCACTTTGATATTCAAAATCCATTTCCTTCGGACGTGACATCCCTATTAAAAGCCTTGGCATGCTGAATGCCAAGTTTTCTCCCACATTCCCCTATTTCTGTGTGTTTACACATTTTGATGTTTCAAGATCAGAAGCTTGGCAGTTAAACCCTCAAGTGGGCAGTAATCTTGGGGTTTGTGTGTTTGTATTTGAGGAAACATAATTGTTGGGTTTTTTTCCCCCTTCAATTCCAGCAGTATAATTTTGCAAGGCAATGAGATACTTCTTCAAAAAGTGACAGATACCTCACACTAAGAGTTTGTAAAAATGTGATTATTTGGAGGAAAGGATAAGTGGGAAGATTAGAATATTTGGGTGGGAATTGATGCAAGTTTTATAGGTATCCAACACATCATCTATCATTCCTACCTGACTTATTTGTTCCAGCAGGATGACAGAGTTTCTTGCATCCCATAACAATTATTTTTAAACCATTTTATTTGAGAGAAAAGCGAAATTTTGACATGATGTTTCTGACTCCATGCTTCTGCTTTAACCAAATTGTTATGTACAAATCTTACTCCTTAGTTTTATTCACCAACTTTTAGGTCTCAGAAGTATTTTGCATTTTATTTTAAAGGATCCATAGCATTTCATAAGCATTTGATCAATGATAAATGAAATATCTCTCTCAAAATATAACCAGAACGTTGCAGCAAAAAACCCTATAAAGCAATACCTTCAGCACTATTTCAAGAAAATGCAATAACTCTTCTGATGGTGTAGTAGTAAATAGATTGTTATTCATAAAGTCTTGCAGGCTTCTACAGCTAAATGGAAAGTGTGCTAAATATGCTTCATGCTGAGTTTTCCCAAGTGTTTTTATAGGGCTTCCAGTAAAGGATAAAAGGTAGTGATCTCCTTATTCAGCAGTCAGGATTGTTTTGTGAAATGTTTGGAAGTGTCAGACTTGACTATTCCAATATAAAACTGTGGCAAAAAAACCCACCTTTGAAGTTGATTGATTTTGAGCTGGGCCAAAAGTGAGTACTCAAGAAAATCAGAGGAGGGTTTAACTGTGATTTACCTTATGCAGTTTCACATTTCTGCCAATGCAGGGGTTTATTAAAGCACTACTGTAAATGAGAATTAGGTTATGGACAGTTTAGATTCTGCACTTCCTAAAACCGGATTGGATTTACATACTATGAGTACCTTCTTCTTTTTTGATCTATTTAGGCAAAAGCTCAGAGAAGAACACACAGACTGGGAGTTTGGAGACACATGGCTGTTTTTTGGTTGTCGGCATCAAGATCGAGACTATTTGTTCAAGCAAGTTTACTATTTATCATTAATTTTGTATTCATGAGAGAATGCTTATCTCGGAGTTATTGCTAACAGCTTTTGTTGTCTTTCAGAGATGAGCTCAGATGTTTTCTTGAAAATGGCACGTTAACTCATCTTAAGGTTTGTTTCTCAAGAGACTCTTCAACTGCAGAAATAGCCCCGCCTAAATATGTGCAAGATGTCATTAGGCTTTATGCGAAGGAGGTTGCCCGAGTCCTGCTGAAAGAGAGAGGTTACTTCTATGTCTGTGGGTGAGTAGAGTGGAGATGGACTGTCTCACAAAGAGCACAGCCTTAGCAGAAGTTCGAGGCTTTAGGAAGACTTAGAGCTGTCTGAAAGAAAGGACTGACACGATGCTGAAAGGGCCTTCCTGGGTTGCTTGGATTTCATCACTATGTCCATTTTTTCCAATATAGTCTTGAAAGTAGAGCTTGTAACCACACAGTTCCACTGGTTGCTTTAGCCACTTACTACTGCTTTTTCTCTTTTAGTATTGAATTAAGCTGTAGGAGTTTCAAGCTAATAGATTTCTCTTGAGAAAATAAGATACTTGAATAATGTATTTTGAAGTGGGAATTGTTATTTGTGGATGTTAACTTTCCTGAAGGTTTGAGATTTTTAGGAAGTTTCTTGATAATGGACAAAATAGTTTGAATTAGAGCCCAAAGTCAGTACTTTCTCCTGCAAAAAATAAATGTCAGCTTTGTATTAAAAATAGTGTTATTAATAAATGAGTGTTGGTTTATGGGGTTTTTTCATATTGGAACCACATAGTGGTATAATAATAAAAAAGACTTCAGAAGGTCCAGTTCTTCCTAAAAGAAAACAATTATTCTGTGACAGCTTAGCCGGGTTCCAAGGTTTTTTTCTTATAAATTCCAGCATGCGGAACATGCTGAACATGCTGAAAACTTTCTAATGTTTGACTGAGAGATACCCTTGTTACTGTCAGTACTCAGCTACGTGAAAACTCACTGAGAATCTTGCCATACAATATACAAGCTGCATTTGCATTTGGGATTTTTTTTAATGCCTCTTTTCCAGTAATATCTTGCCTCTGAAGCTATTGATAAAAAAAAAAATACATTATTATGCATTTTCCTCCACTACCCCTTTCTGTTTTTTTTTCCAGAGATAAGAAGCACATGGCTGATGGAGTAAGTGATGCTGTAGTGGACATTATAAGCATGGAAATGGAGGTTGACAAATTGGAAGCAATGAAAATCCTGGCCATGCTTCGAGAAGCAAAACGATATTTGGAGGATGTTTGGAGCTGAATTTAGCTTTTCCTGTGCCTTTGTAACGCACAAGATTTTGTTTCGCACTTACGCTTTTGACTAAAAGTTATTGTCAGAAGTGCTGCCTGTAGTCACACAAATCTTAACTTTCTCTATTGACCTTTCAAACAGGAATATAAAACCTTGCAGATGACAGCAAACCAGGCTGCCTTTTGAAGCATGTGATTTTTTAATGACATTACATAATGGACTGTCTCAGTGCCTTGATTCTCTCATTTTAAGTTTGCTTTCACGTAGAAAGTAAAAACTTCTGTACGTGTACAAGTATAATTGTAAGTTTACACTTCATCATGTATTTTTTCCTATAATGGATACATAAAGAAGCTACAGAGTAAATATGATATTGCACACTAATTTGTGCATCATCAAATACGTTACTGACTTGCCCAGATTTATTTGAACGTGTATTGGATTTGCATGGCAAGGTTTTGGTAGCCAGGGTTTTACAGGGGTGACTGCAGTGAGAAGCTAGAAGCTTCCTATATTCATTCCAAGATGGACCCGCTGCTGGCCAAGGCTGAGCCTGTCAGTGCCAGTAAGTAGCACCTCTGTGATAAAATATTTAAGAAGGGGGAAATCCTGATGTCTGAAGGAGGCTGTGAGCCCATGGGAAGCTCGTGCTGAAGAAGGCAGGTTTGCTGGCAGGGCTTGTGAACCCATGGAGGACCCACACTGGAGCAGTCTGTTCCTGAAGGACTGCACCCTGTGGAAAGGACCTGCACTGGAGTATTTTATGAAGAACTGCAGCCAGGAGAAAGGGGAGCCAGGGCAAGTACTCACTTTGGAGAAGTTTGTGGAGGACTGTCTCCCATGGGAGGGACCCCATGCTAGAGGAGAGAAAGAGTGTGAGGAGTCCTCCCCCTGAGGAGGAAGGAGCAGCAGAGACAACGTGTGATCAACTGTCGTGCTGGAGAAGGCAGGTTTGCTGGCAGGGCTTGTGAACCCATGGAGGACCCACACTGGAGCAGTCTGTTCCTGAAGGACTGCACCCTGTGGAAAGGACCTGCACTGGAGTATTTTATGAAGAACTGCAGCCAGGAGAAAGGGGAGCCAGGGCAAGTACTCACTTTGGAGAAGTTTGTGGAGGACTGTCTCCCATGGGAGGGACCCCATGCTAGAGGAGAGAAAGAGTGTGAGGAGTCCTCCCCCTGAGGAGGAAGGAGCAGCAGAGACAACGTGTGATCAACTGACCACAACCCCCGTACCCCGTTCCCCTACACTGTTTCAGGGGAGGGAGCAGAGAAGTCAGGAGTGAAGCTGAGCCCAGGAGGAAGGGAAGGGTGAGGGGAAGGTGTTTTACTATTTGATTTTTGTTTCTCATTGCCCTACTCTGATTTTAATTGGTAATAAATTGAATTTCTACAAGTGGAGTCTGTTTTGGCTGTGACGGTAATTGCTGAATGATCTCCCTGTTCTTATCTCAACCCCTGTGCCTTTTGTTGTATTTTCTGTCCCCTGTCTGGCTGCGTAGTGCAGGAGATAGGAATGCTGAAGAGTTAGTGACATCTGCACATGTTTTATGTGAACTCTGCCGTTAACCAGGGGCTTATGGTGCTCTTAGTTATTCTAAATACTCTGAAAATCCTAACTTTTTTTGAAACTGTCTCTGAACTATATGCAAATACTTCTCCAGCAGATATATTTTATGCTGCCTAATAGCAATTACTGTTACTAGACAAAGATGTGTTCTCACATAAACCATATGGATAATATACACTGCATGTTTTATCTGAATGTTGTTGTGTAGCTTTACTAATACTGTTTCCCAGATGGTAGCATTTCTGTACTGTTGGGAGCAGAAACACTTGGTCAGGTAGTGCCCGTGGTGGATATGCTATCAGATGCCTATAGCTGAAAACTTTGTGCTTTTTAAAACCTTTGTCAACACCATGCCATAGATAATTTGAAATGTATCTCATTCACAAATCCCCTGCCTGAACAGACAAATTCAGCTGCAGCTGTACCTAGTGCTAATTTCCACTTAAATAACTGTTTCTAGTCAATCCATTATTCTGTCAGTGATTCTTTTTCAAAAATGAAGAACAGAAGAACACCTACAGCAAACAGAGAGGAAATGACATCCCTAAAGCTCAACTTTGAGCTTTATGGTTCACGTGAAGTTATATGTTTGCAACTTTTGTTTTCTAGAATGTAAATATTAATATTCTCATTGCATATTTATGCATTTAGTACTTTAGTATGTTGCTAGTCTTGCATAACCGATTTATTATATCTCAGTTTCACTGAATGTCCCTTGTATAAAAGGGACTTTTTTTCTTTGTTATTTTGTTTTTTGAGTAGCTCTGTCACCTTGCATCTCAACCTGACAGCTTCAGCTTTTTTTCTTGCTTCCATCTCTGGATCCATTTCACCCCAGTCATGCTTTATCTGAGTTGGGAAGACCAAAACTGAATCCAGTAGTCCAGTTTCAGATATGACAGTGATTATAAATTAAATAACAACAGATTATTTTCAGTATTATTTTCTATTCTGGTCTGATTTTGGGGGTGTTATGGAAGAATAATAATGAGAGAATCACTGTATGCCTGCTGGTGATTATGGAAGAATATTGCATCACGAAAACTTACGGTCTACAAGCCCTGGTCACTTATGGTGAATTGAGAGATAAATCTACATTGGCAGAATGTAGATCAACAAACAATTGATTTGGATTTGAAAATTGAGCTAGTTGGTACAATGGTTTAATATAAGAGCTATAGACTATTTTAATGAATCTCAAGAGTCTGCTTTCCAATTGAGGAGAATGTGTAAATATAAAAGCTGCTCAGTATTTGTTAGAGTTGCCTATCATAAAGAAATCAAAATACTTTGAAATTGATGGCAAAAGCAGTATGTCAATTTGTTTCATCTCAAAACCCTATTCAAATATGTTTCATATTGAAAAAATTGGGAGTTTTATACAAATGCAAATTAGAGTCTTGAAAAGTTGATTCAGCACCACTAGAAATTACATTCACTTTCATTACCATTTGAATAAATGTTCCACTTCTGCTGGAAAGGGTTTGTCACGTTGACAAAGCACTCAAAGCCAATCATGCTTATTAAAAAAGAAAAGATTCTACAGTTGGTTTCAAAACAGCAGTTTTGTAAGGCTCTGTCAGTCAGAGGCATCCAGTCAATCTAATCTGCTTTTAAATCTATTGCTTACGTGATTGATTGGATTTTTTAAACTTTTTTTTTTTTAATGCACTTTATTGTAACTTGCTAGAAGGTCAGCAGTGCTACTTCCAGTACTTTCTCCTCAATGGTGGGACAATGGTATTTTTCAATTGTTTTTCAGGTTGTGCGAGAAAATGATGTCAATTGCCCTCAATTTAGGAACATCACCAAACTGAAACAGAATTCCAGGGCTATGAGGACTCATTCTGGGTAGGGCCAGATGTTGAAATAGACACTGGAGTGTATAAATATCTCTTTCTGTGCATTCATATAAACTGCTGTGTCTTCCAGCTAAATGCTCCCTGCTTGTGATTCTTGTGGAGCGCTGCTTCTTGAGACATAGCTGATACTGCTCTCTTTTTCTTTTGGTGGGGACATATTTCTATAGAATAAACCAGTATTTATGCCACCAGCACTCATTTTTGTTTCCTGCGAAGATGACCAAGGAGCAACGTATGAGCTACTGAAACTACAGGCAGATAAACATCATGTGGCTCTCAGAAGACACTATCTTCAAGGCAGAATCTCTTTCCTTTTTTCACGTTACAGTTCCTAAACACGCTGGGAGGGGGTGGCACTGATACCAATGGAAGCCCTAGAGCCACAGCTTGACAGTAGTCAATTTTTAGGTTTCCCTTGTCTAACAACAGCTGGAGCAAATGCAGATGGGGGGAGAGAAAGAAATTCTGTAACTTAAAGTAAGCGGTTGGATGTCAAGAATTTCATGCAAGCTGTTTTTCAAAGCATCAGATCCTATAAGATGCAGAACACACTAATTTTTTTCTGAAGTTATTTATGTAAAACTCTCAAACAAAAAGCCAATTCCCAAGTAGAAGTGGCTACATTTCTTACCAATGGGCAAGTTTGTTAAGGCTCTTACAGCTTTGCACGAGGAGAGTATGGCATTTTAAGGTAAATGGAAACGTTTTTTCATGTTTGTAAAACTTCCTACAAAATTCAAAACTCATAGGAAATGGAGATAATAATTCTTTCAGCGGTTTGTAGTTATTTTGCTTTTTCTTTTTTACTGGGATATGTAAAACATCTTTGTTTTCTTTATACATATGCATGTATATATCTAAATATACATATGCATATATATATATGCATTACCAAAATCTGAATTTACTTTTTTTACTTGCTTTAGAGGTAAGACATATTTTGAAAGATCTGTCTGGATAACTGTTTCCTTCAGTCTACATAGCTGAATTTTGCTATTAAAATATATGTAGACCTTTATTCATAAAATGTCAAACGAACACTTGAAAGAAAAAAAATAGCCACCAAGTAGTTCTCACTATTCATTTGGTGCTATAGGATTTTTCTTACTGTTTCATTTTGCAGAGAGAAAGAACCTTATGAGTGCACAAACAGTAACTAAAAAGGAGGGCATAAATCTGTAAACTGCTGTACAGATGTAGTAGAAATATTTTTTCCCCTAATTCATTGTTTTGTGGAATGCCTGTATCATGCTGGGGGCTTTCAAATGCATGAAGAAACACAACTATCTAGTTCATATTAATCTCAGTAACTGTAAAGGCTTTTGTAGAGTTGCATATTACCAACAGACATGGCTGTCAAAATACAGGGGAGTGAGGGACTCTGTATTTTGTAAATAAGTTATTATTCAATGTTTCTATTTATGTATTCAACGTGTAGATTGGGAGTCCACTCTAGGTTATCTTTGAAAACTCATAACGACCAGTAGACGTTCCTGAGGGCTGGAGGAAAGCAAATGTTTGGATACAACTTTATGTTGAAGTTCAACAGTATTTTTCCATTATAAGATTTTCAGCAGCATCTTAAGTGCTGGTATGTGACTACGTTTTGGTTTGTGTTCCTGCGTTGTTTTGGGCCAAAGCCAGATTAATCTCTTAAGAGAAAATATTCAAGGCATGGTATGAACTTGTGCAATTCCGCACATCTTGGCAAGTTCATCCTCAACAGTGCTAAATTAAAAACAAACTGGTTGACTTACTGTGAGTCAGGCTGCAAAAAAGGGTGCACACAGGCTTCAGTAAGACAAAGTATACATGCCAGCTGGCCTAAAAAACCACATTTGGTTTTTAATTTTTACTGTTGGCCTTGTGCAAAGAATGATTGCATTGCCATGTTTTGAGTCACATATTAAGGCTCTACATCACTGGAAGATAGTCAGCTTTGATCTGGGCAGACATCCACATAATTGTGAGTTTCAGATGATCACTTATCATTACATTTCTAATGCATCTGAAGAGGATGGTTAATACTTACTTGTAATACTGATTCGCAGGGCAGACAACTCTGGAAGTTTCAAGTAGAAAGTACGTGTTAATCCTACCAGGGTTAACCCACAACGCTCTTCTTTGAAATAAGGGACTCACAGATTTTGAATACACATGCTTCTGTCAATGAAGGACTCTGAAATTTCTTGTATTTATGACCTGGTGATGACTACTGAAGTTTCACAAGTTATTTGTCACCACCTTGTATGTGCAGCATGCCTGTCCATGTTTTATCATATATGATAAGATAGCACTTTAATTACTGTTGGGACTAGTGGTTCATTTTGCCAAAGATCTCTGTGAAATTCTTACTCCTCTCACTGGTAAGTTATGGTTAAAGCAACATGGTGGCTCTAAATTATTTTCTCATTAAAATCAATAAAATCTGAAAAATATATAATTCTTACTGAATAACTAGTTTTCAGATTTTGTGTAGCTCTGAGTGTAAATGTGAATCACTGTAAGTTAAATTGTTTCAAATGTGTTAGAGTATTATGCACATTTTAATGATACAATTTATTTCATGTCGTGGAATCCTCCATTGTCAGATTGCACAAACCACCTCCTTGCCTCTTGATTCTTGTGTAGTACCTTAGGGTCAACTCCAGCTGTTAATTGTATGGAAAAGCTGGACTAAAGACTCATTTTCCTATAATGTAATTGTGTGGAAATGGTTTAGCTGATTTCTCTTTCTATTTTCTTTCTTATTTTCTTGCTTATTTGCCCCTGCACCTTCACATATACACTCCTGTCATCTGCTTATCATCTTTTGCAGATGCATGTATTCCTCTGATAACCTCTCCTCTCTCCTCTGCACATACTGTGGCTGCGTTTCTCATGCTAGAAGGTATCCTGGTGGTGGTTTCAATATTTGCATTTGAACGTACCTACTTCCAAAGCTGATTCTGCCATCTGAAGGTG